CTGGTCTTTGCATGAAGGAAGTCGCGTTCACAAGCAATTATTTGACCGCCAACTTGCAATTCGAGCGACGCTGGGCAAGGGAACGGATTGTTAGCGTAAATGACCCACTGTCGGTCGGGGTTTCGTTGTGCTTTAAGTATGGTTGTCAACGTGTGGGGGCCAAATGTATGTTGTTGTTCGATACTCTTGGCATTGGCGGCTTCCCAGACATGAATGATGGAAGTAGTGCTGTCGCATAAGCCGGTGCCAATGACCACGAAGAGTGCGAGAAGGTAGGTAAGCCCGGTATTGGCTTTCATCTGCAGTTGAAGCACTCCTTGTCAGGAAGTTATAGCAGAATGTGAATAAATAAATGTCACCCACTTTTTTAATTTTCAAGGGAGGATTGGGGCTTCTTGACAGTAGGATGAACGGCACAAAAGTAGTGACAAAAGGCGATGATTAGTGGGCTTGGAGGATGGTTGTTCCCAACAGCAGCAGGAGGCATCGGCTCCTTATGGCTGGGTGGACCCCACTCATCATCAAGCAATCCGCATCTTTTTCCTAGACACTCCTTCAAACTTCTGACTCCAAAGGCTAAGGGCCGGGCTCGTTTCAATTGATCGTGAGACTTTAGTGATCCGCCTATTTATACATATGAGGAATAGCTTATGTCTAGCAGTTGATATATACAGACTACCAGTAGCGAAACATTTCTAGTCTCAACTCCATGATACACTGGGTGGTGGTGCATCGTGAGCACCTGGAGAGAAGGTACCTCGCTTCCGGGGAGGTACATTTTCATTAGCACTCCAGCGGGTGGAGGCGGCGGCCGCGGACCAGATGACACGGACTGATAAAAGAACTGATCTATTTTTACAGGCAACATGAATCATCCCCTTAACATGCAAACAAAATGTGGTACTGGGTGACTCTGAGACATTACCAGATGACTGCCCGGAGGGAGGCGAGGGGGTTTTCCCTATCCAATTTCGGAGGGGCTGATATAGTCAAGTTTAGAGTCAGCCTGTAACAATTCTCAGGTATACCTTCACGTGAGGTGAAAGAAAGTAGCGGATGACTTGGCGGTGCCACTGACGCTCGGTGTCACCCCTACAATGGAACAAGATGGAGACCAGGACCGGTCACAGTTGAGAGCAATGCTCTGGGCTATTGATGACAGACATCCACCCTGATTTGGGTTCTGCTAGAAGACATGAGCATCGTCAGCGTCTACAAACGCGGTGCCCCATCACCCGAAGTGCAATCAAGAATGTCTTGCAAGCTCAGGACTAACCAACTAGGCTGAGACAAAACTTTTTTACGAGTGAGCAAAACTATACTCCAACTCGTCCAAACCTCGGGAAACAAGTGCTTTTTGATTCGATAGCCGAGTGCTAAAATACCAGAGATAGAAAGGCTAATAACTTGATGAACCCAGGGCCATGTATTTGCATGTCTCGCAAAGTATCTGCCAGTTTTCTCCCAGTCGAAAACAATTAATCACTCTGTAGGTTTTTCGCCTTAATCAAAACCGAGTGGGTCAGAGGGTGAGCAGTGCGCGCAAGAGCTCCGTTTGAACAACATTCCAGAATGGAACTCAGTTTAATCTTATTATACAGACTAGCGATGTCCGCCTGTTATAATTCAGAGATGGCACTTGAATTCTGGAGGGATGAGCTCAAGTACCTGAAATCCTCTGAATCGATAATGCAACTTGCTCTTTACCGTTTGTTCTTTCTGAAACAACATGAGAAATGATGTGGGCATCAAGTAAAACCGTTGACTCAGTGAGCACGTCCCAATGCACTTCCTTGCCTTGTTCGCCCAGATAGCGAGGGAACCAATAACATCTAACAGCAACATTCTTTAAATGAAACTTCGACACAGTTAGACTTGTGCGTTCCGCACCGAGATGGTCTTTGGCCGTTCACCCGAGCGATTGCAATAGTTGTGTGGGTCGCTTTTTGTTTTACAATCGTCGTTGTTCCTCAGCCCTGTCTTCGACATTGTAGAATATGATCAGTTTAGGCTCTTGGTTGAATAGCTTCAAGATAAACTTAAGTCCAAGCTTATTGAAGATTGTCCTTCTGTATCAGTCGTAACTTCTGGTCGATTCGCTTTCGAAGGGGGTGACAGAACCCAAGAAATGTTTCCATCTACATACTGCTTCAGCTTGGTTTTACACATGCTGTGCGGACCCCACCGTCCATGTGCGTCCACAGATAGTGAGGCTGTGGCGCTTCTATCCTCTCAAAGATGAAGACCGGGACCGGAGGCTGTTTGTAGTAACACAGTGCTCCGGGCATTTGATGTCGGAGATCAACTCTGGTTCGAGTACTGCTCTAAGCAAGCAGCATTACCTGCAAACCAAGCAGGTCAGCATACGAGGGGCTTTGTTAGGCTCGTACCCCCACTATGCACATGTCCAAATGTAGGGAGAAAATGCTCTTTGGTTGCATAGTCATGTACCAAAATAGCAAGCTAGGGTTTTTGTCCTAATGGAGAGCAAGTGGTACAGAAGTTAAGGAGCACATTCAACAGCCCTCCTTTGGAAATATTCCAGCAGAGAACTCAAGAGGATGTTGGGATGAATTTTGTAATAAAATCATAGTGAATGACTGAAGGAATGAAATTTGGTGTCTAAATATGTGTCAAGTGAGAAAAATGACAGACATTGTAATGATGGAGATCTATTGACATTAAGGAATATAGGAAAAGACTGGAGGTGATCGTCTGTGGCAGACAGCCGGAAACAGCATCGAGGCTAACCTATCTTCAATCAAAAGATTGACATATACAAAAGTGACATGAACCGTGATGTGGATGGACACATCAAAGTTTTGCATTTGTTTTAGTTTCAATAAGGATAGTGTTCGTCATCGCGAACTTCTCTCAAAATAAGCGGCGCTTTGAACACGAAGTCTTCATCGGTTTCGGGTCGCAAGCGGATTCGGGGATCGTTGAAGGATGGTATACGTTCCAAGCGGTTGGTTTTCACAGCTTCCGGTGCAGCAAGAAAATATTGAACATCTACTTTACGAGGCTTTTGCTGCACCACGGCGACTCTTACTGGGGCGCTAATTGATGGGGAAAGTGCGTTCTGCTTGTGACCATGGCTAACGAGCAGATTTGGAAGTAACTGGTCGTCCACCCACACCCGGATTGACACAGGGAAGGGCAACCGATTGTTAACCCGAATGCTCCACCCATTGTTTCCATGCTCATTGTCCACAGTAACCAAGGTTTGCAACGGTTTGTCTTTGAAGCGATGAGTGACTTCTACGACGTTGTCCGCATCGCCCTGCCAGGTGTGTGTGTACTCCACAACATACTCGGTATTTGGACATAAGCAGGTGCCAATGGCTACAAAGAGTGTTAGGAGGCAGGTGGACACGGTATTGGGTTTCATCTGGTAACAGGCAGACCTTATCAGGTAGGTATATCAAAGCGATGGTAGGGAAATCACACTAACTTTTATTTTTCAGGGTGGAGTTCTATGGCTTGCGGCTACTTGACTTTTTCTTTGAAAGAAGGGACACAGACCGGTGACAAACTACCAGTAGCTGCTGCCGCTGGTGATGTGGTGTGATGCTTTCCTAAAATGGCAGGAGGAGTCATCGTCTTTTTATGCTCGGGTGGACAGTCAGTCATCCCCAAGCCCTGCTGCACTCGAGATTGTATCCTAGGGACACTTCTCTTCCATTAGCCAAAGGCACAGTGGGTAAGGGCAGAATTAGGAGTAACCCCGTTTCGTGAAACCATGGGACTTGGTGACCCGCTCCATGTGAGAGATAGCTCATCGTGTATCAGACAAAACATGCAGAAAATATACCTCTGGAATCTTTCTACTGTTGACCTTGTGATACACTCGGCGGACGTGATGGAACCTACTATATGGCTTCCGAGGAGGTATCAGGTCCCCATGGAACCTCGAATTCTCATATCTTGTGTACATATTTACAGCACTCGATCCACAAGGAAAAAGGTGCTGGGTGTAACGATTGAGATCTTGTTTCGCTATTTTCTGTTTAGTTGCCGAAATCTATGGTAAGTTAACGAGATCTTTTAGTTATTCATTTCTTAGTCTGGTTTTTATCATAATCTTTAGTTATTATTCTTTACATCGGGATTATTATTCTTGTTTTATTTCGAGACTTTTACTCAGTTTGTTTTCAAATCCTTTTCATATATATTTCTATTGTCTTGTTAGACTTTCTCTTTCCTCTCCTTTCTTTCTCATCGCGATATTTTTGTTCTTCATTATCATTATCCTTAAAGTCTTATAAATAAAATTCAAGTTCGAAAACCCTTCCCGTCAAGAGTTTATCTTATTCTAAGATAAACTACCCCCTACCTCTTGTAATATAGACGGTATCTTCTCTTGAAGATACTTATAGTCATTCAAGAAAGAAGAGTAGTAGGCGGGCTCTCACACTGGGGTTCATGTTCACAGAGATTCACAGACAGAATGCATGGTTGGGTTTCTTAATATTTTAGACTAGTCAAACCTTACTAAAGGTATTTGTTTGAGGGAGTTATATCAAAGTATCTAGCTATAACATATGTATGTAGATCCCAATCCCATGTGGCATACTTCCCCCTATCCACCCCTCACCTCCTAGAAACACAACTTTATCATTCTTATCATCAACCATTGATTACCTTTAGGGTCTTAGTTAAACAACTCCCAGAAATTGGAGTTCCGACTCCCAAATTTCTGGGGCGTCAAGAGGACCGCCTGCGGACAGTACTCAGGACGTCCAACCCCAAAATTGGGAGTTGGAACTCCAAAACCTTCAAAAGGTTTGGGAGTTGTTCCCCTAATAAAAAAATAAAAATGAAATAAACATGTATATGGTCTCAATGGCTGAGAGGAATACCTCTCAGCCGCTGAAAGTGTATTGTCTCAACAACCAAGAGGAATCCCTCTTGGCCGCCAAGAGTCATACACTCTCAGCAGCCAAGATGTCAGCTTGCTACTATGGCAGAGACAACCTGTCATAGCAAAATAAAATAAAAAACACATAAAAAATCTAAGAATAAAGTAAAATATTACATAAGTAAAAGAAACTAATTTACTTATGTAAGAGCATCCACCCCCGTTGGGGTAAATCTTTAGCTAGCTAAGGAGCCCTACAGAGCTCTTTTGCTTAGCTACAGAAAAACCCTGCCCTCATTGGTCTGTAAGCCCCTCATTAGCCAGCTGGTTTCACTTACAGAGGGTTGCATAACCCTCGTGTCCACTATTTAAGTTAGCACTGTAAATATTATATCTCACATACTAAGTACAGCGTCCGTCCCTCAATGAATGACCGGTACCAAGCCAATCATTGAAGAGATTACACACCACTCTTCTATGAGTCTTACAAGGTATATCAGTCAGTCCTTTTGATGGTTTTACTACTCTCACAGAAACTAGAATTCCGGTACATTGATTTGATCCCTAGTGCCCATACTCGTACCGTTCGGTCGATCAATTGGTTTCCCAAGGGTGACCTCTTGGCCTCTGGTTCATTTGACTCGACAGCTTTGATTTGGACCAATCGCAAATTTGATCAAAGACTCAATCAAGCCAATGCTCAGGACTTGGAAGACAAACCGGGAAGAGCTAGATTGCCCATCCTTGATGGTGAGGAAGAGGGCAAAGAGAGCTGGGAGTGTTTGATGTCACTTGAAGGGCATGAGAGCGAAGTCAAAGGAGTCGCATGGAACCGGAACGGAAATCTGTTGGCAACCTGCTCTTGGGATAAGAGTGTATGGATCTGGGAGATCCTGGTCGGAAATGAGTTGCAGGATCATCAGAACGTGATCCAGGATGATGAAGGCTACAAAGTGATCTCAGTCTTAATAAGACGTCAAATCGGTATGTTGGTCACCGGTTGAAGTGTAGTTCCCTCAATGACGGTCATCGATCACCATAGTTTTTTTTTGTGGATGGGAGGGTGGTTGATCGGCACCAGCTATGTAGCCTCTCCTCAAGTTGAGCTTAAAGAGGCTCGGTAGGCATTCGTAACTTTACGAATCCTTACCGACTTACCGAGTGAATAGCTAGCTAAAGAGCGCTAAAGAGTGCGCGAGGGTGAAAATAACGATTCAAGTTGAGTAAATCCCGCTTACCGAGCGGGTTTACAGAGACGAGGGTGGATGCTCTAAATAACATAAAAAACACTTAAAAATATATAAATAACAGAGAAAGATTAGAGAAAACTTTAATTATTATTACAGATTCTGAATCTACGTACAATTTAACCTAGGGTACCTCAGCCAAAGGTACCCCTAATTGTAACTCCTTCATCCTGTAATACCCACTTAAAGAATTAACAGGTACCCATAGATCACGGGCACCTGAATAATTATGCATTATACATAACAATATGCATATACTCCAAATCTTGTCTCAGATTTGGAGTGTTGTGTATAGTTTGGAAGATAGAGCTGCGTGGCGTGTACTGTCTCCAAGCCCGCGCGCCGCGTAGTCATGCTGCGCACGGTTGACAGGCGCGCCTGACTACAATTGAGCCTATGGCTCAAGCCCCCGCGCGTGCTAGGTAAGCCCACCCGCCTTGGATACATGCATAACCCCCTCTGGTTTACAAGTATCCAAGGAATGGGCCACAAGCGCCCCAGAATCCTCATTACACGTGACAACAAAGCCCCCACACGTGTAATAAAAATATAAACAAACTAGAATATGCATGAAAATACTACAGTAATCTAGAACATTCTATATTCCAAGTGGTAACACGTGTAGCAAGCCCCAGAAACCACCTCTTGGATATTCTGTGGCCCATTTCCAAGGAAATAACTCCACGTAACAGAATAGCAATTATCCACAGGTTCCTGAAGGATATTCTTGGTTCAAATAAATTCGTGCATGAACCCTGGGAACTTCTAGAATATTATCCCCAAGGTTTCAGCCCTTGTTGCGTCACCATGTGGGCTAAAATGGGCCACAAAGCGCTCCCAAGTCCTACTAAGCTCCCCTGAGCAACCCCTGAGGTCTGCCACAGGTATTTAAAGGGCCTTCTGACCGCCCAAATAATGATCCCCCAGCTTTACAATACCTTATAGAAATTTACTTACCATTTACAAGTCCCCTACACTTGTAATTAGCCTAGTTACTACTATAAATTGCTGTTATTAAGCCTCAAGAACCCTCAAGAAACTCCCCTGTGATCACCCAGCACCCAAATTCCACCCTTTTGAGCGCTTCCAACTGCCCAGTTTCTACTCTGAAGATCCTCAAGACCCTACAGGATTATTACTAGTGAGTAATAACCCTTTTCTTGAGATTTTCCCTATTATTTCTTACTGGGATTTAAACCACCCCTGTTTACAGGCCCCAGTGTACCAGGTACCTAAATCCTCTGCTCTTTGCACGATACCTTTGAGGGATCTAACCACCCCTGATTTATCAGGCCCCTCAGGTTTAATTTATATTAATTTTATTAATATAAATTGGCCACTTTTTCCTAAAAAACTCCCATAAATTCCTTTCTTTTTATTGGAATTTATTCCTTTAAGATTAAACCCAAAAACCTTTAAGTTTTTACTTGCTTTTGCACCACGTTGTGGTATACCTTAAGGGTAGCCATCTGGGCCATTTAAAAATTTTACAGTTTTTCTTTTATTACAAATTGCATACTTTTTACACCTTTTTTCTCATATATACACTCACAAATCAACCATTATGGCTCAAGAATTGGATTCTATGGTCAATTTCACCCTTGGTCACCACTGGAGGCGTCACTGGAACCCAACTGGATTGGAAGCTAACACTCTCTGGACCATCACCACACTCAATTACACAACTCACCACCATGACAACACTTCAACACTCAACACCAACAACAAATTACATCATTCACACTACACACATGCACGTTGCAGGACAACTACATACTCACATCATTATAGTACTGGTATACACACAACTACACTATCTTCTGACACTTGCTATATGTAGCTGTTAGGCTGGTCCTGTTGCTAGGTCACTTGTTAATCTTCCTTGCAGCTGTCAGACTATCTCACATCACTCATGTATTACTCATCACATCACCTTAGCTTGCAGACTAGTACATCACCTCATGTAAAATGCTTCACCAGCATAAAACCCTCATGTAGACTTCTAGTTCCAGCTAAAATAACTCTTATGACATCATGTAGGTTGCTCAACCAGCCAAAATACCTCATGTACATGTTCTGACTAGCTAAATCCCCTCATTGTAAAGCTCTGGCCAGCTAAAATCTCTCATTCTCTTGTTCCCCTGAAGCTAAAATCCCTCACCTTTGTGTATTTAAGAGGCTCTCCTCTCAGTTGTTTTCCCCTCAGTTTAGTATCCACCTATTTCATACCCCCTACCCTTACAAACCCTTACATACCATTACATACCATCCCCTTACCATTGAAATATCAGCTAGACTCACTCTCTCACTCTCAAATCAACCTTTTAGACCCTTATAAAACTGGGTTAAACCCTTTGTCCACCTGTTAAGCCACAGTTATCTTTTGATACACTCCACTATCACTTTATTAAACCTTCCAATCTGAGATTGGTGGGCTTGTCTAGTGTCTAGTGATCCAGGAAAGGCAGAGGTATCCTCATTCATCCCTTTCCACACTCAGCAAAAGGTTTTCACAAACACTTTTGAGCTTTACAAGGGAGTCCCCAACGTGATAGAGGATCCTGAAGTTTGGCAAGTGGATTAGATATATCTAAACCATTGTAGTGATTTTTATAGTTTATTTTAGTAGAATTTTAGTTAGTTTTAGGCAGGAAAATTCCTGTTTTGACCACGTGACAAACCATATCTTTGAATAATCACATTCTGTTTAGCTTTATACGACTTAGTTCTTAGATATACCTAGTAGAACTCCGGATTAAGTAGTTAAATACTCAAGAATCAATTATAAAGTAGAAGACGAGGGGACCGATTAGCCGACGTACTAGAGTAGTTAGGATAAAAAAGTTTAACTACCAGGTGGTAGCCGATTAAAACTCAGTGCAAAGTAGAATACTAGTCTATGACAACCTCCACGAATCTATATAATTGAATAGTAGTATCATATTATTTAGTTTTATTAGTATTATTATTAGTTAGTAACCAAAACCCCCCAACCTTGCCCTGGATAAGAACGCCAGCGACATTAGTTAGAAGAATTTAGGACTACTACTAGAAATTATCAACAACTCAACTCAAGATAAAGCAACCGGAATCAGTTATTTCTCAGTCATGGCGTTTTCCCAGGCTCAAGACGGACCGACTCTACCGACAACCAACCCAGCTTCAACTGGAATATTCTCTGGCAATCAAAACAATCCCAATATGAATATTGATCCACCAATAATACCACCTCTTTTACCCCCACCACCAATGCGAACAAGTCATACTCGAGTACGGCACTATCGTGAACGGTATGGGGCTCATCAAAACATTCACCAAAACGACGACCCAGCTGGCTCTGGGAACACTCAACAAACAAACTACCCTGCGGGAACCTACGGCTTACCTCCGGACATTCAGGAAATGGACGAGCCTATGCCTAGGCCTGCAGTCATCATCAAGGAACCAGACTTAAGATATGAAGGCGAGAACTTTGAAGACTTTTTGGAACGATTCGAACTGGCGGCAGAAATCTACGGTGCTGGCGGCTATGACAAAGCACGTCAAGTGTGTAGATTTGTGAAGGTAGAAGAATTGAAGAAGGAATTGGAATCGATGGACGGATACGAGCAGCGGAACTGGACACTTCTTTGTGCAAGCATGATAGAAGTCTGGGGAGGCGTGGCAAAGAAGATTCGGTACACGATCAAGGACCTTTACAATTTGATTGATTTCTGTCAGAAGAAAGGCGGAATCAAGCAGCTGAACGATTTCAAAACTTATCAGTCAAAGTTCATGATAATAACTAAGTATTTGGTAAGAAATGAACATATAGTAAATGAAACCAGTGTCTCTCACCTTTTCTTTTTAGCTTTTTCAACAGATATACAGACGAGCATTAATCGAGAGCTAGTCAAGGCAGACCTCATTCCTACAGGGAAGGATGGTTATAACAAACCACCCCTCCTTTCGGATGTAATTGATGTAGCTGAGGATGAAATTCGAGCAAGGTCACTTAATGTCTTTGCAGCTAGTGGATTCGCCGAGGCCAACCAATCGATGCAAAGGACTCTGGACCAGAAGAAAGGCGACGGAAAAAAGCGTGAGAAGATGATGGACGACAATCCTCCGGAAGTACTTCAGAAACAGGTTGATAGCTTGGCAAAAGCAATTGAGTCACTCACAGGAAAATTGGAGAATCAACCTAAAAATGAATATTCTCGTGTAAATGATCGACCATCTGGACGACTTTATGAACCTCGACCCTGTTACTATTGTCATAAGGAAGGACATTCAACCATAATGTGTTACGAAGCACAAAAAGATGAACGAGAAGGACTAGTCAAGAAAGAAGGACGTGATTTCTACCTTCCTAATGGAGAGAAAATTCCATGGGATCCTTCAAGACCTATTCGGGTGGTTGTGGCTGCAGACTCTGCAAAACCTAAACCTCAGATCACCAAAGTATACAGAACCGATCACCCATCAGTTTTTGAACAACAGACGGAACCAACACCCAACTCAAACGACTACGTCTCATCAATGCACAAAATTGACTGGAATCCACCACACCTAGGTTCAGAAAATTTTGACAAGGTCAAATCCAACGCAGCAACAACACGAGCAGAAGCGCTCCGTGGCAGAAGAAAACCCATGGCGGCAAACGATGACTCAGCAATGGATTTGGACCCAATCGATGAACTTGAAGAAATAGTGGAAGAAGTGGCAGCCACCAGAAAAACGCCTGGACAAATTGCGGAACCTCAAGCAAAACCAACTGTTCAGAAAACAGAGAAGACGGTTGAATCAGCCTTAGTCTCAGAGTTGGACAACTTGAAGATACCCACCACTTTTTCTCAACTCACATCAATTTCACCAACATACGCTCAAGAAGTAAT